CAGTGCTTCCCGATGCTCTCGGAGCACTGAAGCACCGATATCTGTTCAGCTCCCCCTGTCCCCCCAACGCTCCTCAGTCCTTTCAGTGGCCCAGCTAGGGTGAAGGGACCAGTACTATCCTCAGGAACAGATCCCCTCAACAAGACAGGGTATTTGGTATGAAATCATGCAGATAAGCAGCACATGAAGTGCACATCCGACCTGTGCCTCCCAGGTACCTAGTGCTTTATGGGCGCAACTAAAAGGTTGTTTCACTTAATGCCATTATAAACCTACCATCAAGCACCAGTGGAACACAAAACCAGAGTCTGGAGAACAGTTATCCTTCCATGGAAAACAAAACAGAAAGCAAAAGAAAATCTACAGAGTTTGACAAAGAAATGAGGAGCCGTTGAGGTATTTTCTTCATATTTTTGTCACAACTCCAGCAGGTTTTCCCTTTTTCTACCATTTCTCTGCAATCACCTTAGCAGTCCCAGGAGCAATGTGTGATTAGCATTGCAAGTCAGGAAGAACTGCTCTCCCACACAGCTGGTTATTACTGCAGCTGCTAATGATGGCTCCATTTGTTCTTCTCTAGCACTTACAGCTACTTCTGCGCATTTTTTAAAATCATTCTCAACTTTTAGTTGTTACTGATTTATCATCAAGGTGTGCTCCAGTTGTACTGATTGGAGCAAAACTAAAGCCAGGAATGCTAGAAGATTATCAGGATCCAGGCTGAATGTAGAGAAAGATCAGACCACCTGTACCCAACGCGGGAAAAGATAATGCACTGTTCCATGATACGAGATGCATTACTAAATATATGCTTTAAACACAGTTTTCACAGCTTGTGTTAATATTTTGTAGGACTTCAGAATCTGGAAATCTTGCTTTTCACATCACTGCACTTTCTGTCACTATGCTGCATTCCCTCAGCCATTAGTAGGAATTCCTCCAAATTGTTTTTTTTTTTTTAAAGAGCATGCATTCCCTCAGCCATTAGTAGGAATTCCTCTAAATTGTTTTTTTTTTTTTTTAAAGAGCACAATAAAATAAATATATGACAAATTCCCACCACTTAACTTGGAGTACAGCACTTGTTCTCGTGATTACAGGATCTGACAGCCACGTGATATCTAACCACTGCAGTAAAGCTCCATTTATCTCAGTGAATATACACACAGACCCCCTGAAGCCCATTCCCACACCCTAAGAAAGCTACGTATGCATTCTTAAATGTATGCCTTTCCTTACCTGAGCAGAAAAACTAATGACTCAGGCTTTGAGCATACACTTTTTTCCATTCTAAATGATGAATAATCCAACTTCACAAGTTCACAAATAGCTCATACCTTAAACTCAAATATTTTTACACTTTCAGAAACACACGCTTATGACAGCTATGAAAATATGCCAAGTTTGATATTCAAGGAAGAGTCACGTTTCACTCTCCAATGCACAGAATTCATTTTGCACCATAGGTTATTTTCTTCCACAAACACACAGAAAAAGTGATTGCAACCTTTCCTTTTACACTTGTATAATAAACATCTTGTATGAAGAGCAAACTCCTTTGTGAGTTGAAAAGTGCAGCAAAGCTGATGTTAAAACCAAGAAATGCACGTGCAGATAAGGAACATACAACCGGTACAGAGATTTCATCCAGCTGCAGGGTTTCATCTACACTTTATCACAAAGTGAAGTCTGTGACCTGTCTCATATTGCCAGTCCCCAAATTCACACAGGACTCTCCAAAATGATGACATTTTAAATATGGTTTACACTGACAAATCTAGCAGCAGCAGAAAGCATACCAATATTATCACTGGAAAAGGAATGCCTTGATGCACACCAGTTGTTTTTAATCCTCCTGTATCTACTGAAGATTACCAGAACAGGTCTCGGGCCAGGAAAGGAAAGTTAATGGTGAAAGGGCTGTGGGTTTTATTTTTAAGGACCTCATTCTAAACGTTGCTCTGTTTCTTCTAGTCTCTTGAGCAGAGCTACCCCTGCTGCAAAAGATGAAAACAAATGCCAATATGACAATTTTGGAAATGGAATTCACATAGACACTTAAAAGCGACAGATCCTACTTTAGAACTGTTTCTTTGTCCAAAAAAAGTTTTCTTTTCAAAGTAATATTTCACTTGGCACTAAGAATTCTCTTACTCATGGTACAGTGAGTTTCTTGCAGCAGACAGAGGTCCTGACTTAAGTCAAAAGACACATACATATATTTCTGAAGCCCATCAGGGCACAAGAAGGATGTGTTCCTTAATGCCACATTTGGTTATGAACCAGCCAAAGGTCTGTACATGTGAACTGGCATTGTAGTGGTGACTTGTTCATGTCCATTAAAAAGAAAAGAGCCTCTAGGTTAATAAATTATTATTCCTTCTTAAACCTAGAGATGTTTGTTAATAATTGAACCAGGCAATGTTATAGACCATCTACAAATCATACCAAGAGTCTTTCACTCAAATATGTGAGAATTGGGACCTACAGACTAATTATACAATCCACCAGCCATACATGTTTAGAGAAGGGATAAGTGTGTTAAAATCAGGCTCCACTTTAATGAAGCAGTTTTCCCTGCCCCTAACTGTCTGGCTAAGACTGATCCTTAAACGCTAAGTGCTGTGAAAGCATTTGAAGCAGCAGTGGGACTTGCCTAGGCAGCACTCCCAAACACAGGCAATCCCAGTGCTTTATTTTTAATTGTCTTTTTTTGTATTTCAAATCACTGCTTTTCTGCTCTGCTGCAGCAGTAACATTGCCTTTCTGTTCCCTACTGTAAAGCCCAACACTTTAACAAATTATTGCTCTCAGAAAAAGGAATGAGCTCATTTTGCCACGCAGTACCAGGTTCTCAAAATGCAGGCTAAGTTTAAGGCAAGAAGAAGTGCCAGGTTTTGGAACTGAAATGGCATTAGCAGTACAGAGAAGTAAATGAGCTGTCATGCACTAAAACTGAACCTGCAATTACAACAGTCATCTCTAAAAAAGCCTGAATCTCCTAAACGAGACGCATAAAAACTTATCAATGCCTGGTTTTAAAAATTGGGTTGGAGTGACAAAAGCAGCACATAGGATCAAAAGAAGCATTAAAAAAAACAAAACAAAAAAAACACCAAAGAGGGAAGGCGAGAAAAACCATTGCAAAGGAACATTCTGAACATGAAAAATGCATCCGCTTGTACCAGCAACAGAAAACACCCCGGGGTCATTCCCTCTTCACATTCTCTCACATGCTGCATTTTATCAGCAAGAGGAAAACGAAGTGCAATTGCCTTCAGATTGCGCTTCACCTCTAAAGCTTTTCTCACAGGATGTCAGTAGTTACTTAGATTGCACCCTAGGCAGTGACACAACCACGGGATCCCTGACAACTGTGTTTAGACAGAGGAGTGTGTTAGAAAGGTGTAACTGGTATTAAACTTCATTTTCTGCTGTGTACGTGTAGCACATTTGATCTTTCAAAAAAGGCCATTCCCTACAAGCTTTGCATTGTTTTATTTTAAAAGGTGAGTTTAACCAGTTCTGTGGCACACAGCCTGTCAGTACAACCTGGGAAAGGGGATGGCCAAAACCAGGTGCTGTTAGAAAAAAAAAAAATCCTACTGTACTTTATCTGCTCCCCCTTCCTCCAAGAAGGACATCAAGCGCAAACACCTTGCAGCAGAGCCTGAAAATTAACCAGACGGGGCTGAGTAGAAGCAATTTCACAGTTGCAGACTTTTTGAAATTAAGTCAGCAGCACGCTGCATACAGCAATCAGACTGAGTGCCCCGGTACTGTGCAAGGAGACAGCTGTCCTCCCAGCTACCTAGAATTCAACTATGATTTCTACAGCTATAAAAACATGTTCATCTTAGAATTGCATCTGGAAATGAAATAGTTTAATATGTTCCCTTTCAAAATACTGGTGGCAGCACTTTGCAAAAGATGGTAGTTTCAGTTTAGGGTTTATTTCCAACCACAAAAGCCAAAATAATCAAACATACAATTCTTGATACCAAACCCAGAATGCAGATAATCTCAGAGTTTACTGAAGCCAGTATTACTACTGGTCAGTGGATTGCTATGATCCATAAATAAAAAAACCCCACACCAATCCCCATTTGCAGGCAGCAATAGTCAGAAGTCAGTTCTGCTTGGGGTAATACTTGTGAGTAGACAATTACTGAGGCTATCTTTAAATGACTAAATGTCCATCTTTTCTCTCTTGAAAAAAAAAGACAGAATGCAGTAGGAATATAAAGTTGTCCTTAACTTTTTTTCCTGCAGAACTGTGACTGTTCTTGCATTATAAAAGGATACACTGCTGTAAGCTCCGTACTCACCTGCCCAACAGATGAGCTGAGGCTGAGGTCTTTCTTCCCAGGCACACTGCCTCAAACTAATTCTAGATTCAAGTGATCCATTTATTAAAAAAAAAAAAATCTTAAACCAGCCGTAACAGAAAGGCTTGGTTTTAGGTATAACTGACAGCAATGAGAATGCTCATCCCTGTCAGATCTACAGAAAGCAGGTATGGGCTTACACCCAAGTTACCGTGGTCCATCACGTCACTGCGGGTGAGCAGAGCTGTGGCAATCAGTCATCTTCACACCCGGCCCACAGCAATTGCAGGGTATTAAGCCCCACCTTGAACAGCAAAGGAATTTCAGGCCAGCCAGTCTAAAATAGATTGCTTTATTTTGGATTTGCTGTAGTCACACAGTTATCTTTGCTCTTGACGCATCGTGACCTGCCAAGCTGCCGTAACTGGACTGCAGCTCTCAGCCCCACAGCTTTCAAGAAAGTCACTTCGTGTGGCTTAGCTCCAGATACTTCAAACTGTGGCCACATTTTAACCTTTTTCAATCTTTACTTTTTGTGTAATGAATCTGAAGATAAAATACTACATTATCGCACAGTTACTGCTGAGACAAAAAGTCCCACTACACCCGCCAGCCCACCCAGTTAATAAATGGCACAATTTGGCCTCAGTGGAGGCAAACCAAGACTCTTACCTGCTCGGGGCTCTATCGTCTTGTTGGAACCTGCATCCATAAAGATAAACCGTCCACCGCCAAAGTCTTCCGTGTAGTCAGAGAGATAGAGCAGTGAAGTATAGTCAAAAGAGCCGTAAGTCACCTAGGAGTAGGACATCACCAAAAATTACCAAATTCTACTCTGATCTCTGCAGAGCACAAACAATTAAGCAGACGGATCTGATGGGCTTTTCTAATTTTCCAGTTTTCACATATTTAATAAAGGGATCGCTGAGAGCACTCCTTTCTAAAAATTATATGTTTGTTAGTCTATTCTGATATGTTTCCACACACACATTACACAGAAGACTAGCATGCAATGTTTATTATTTCTATTATTAGTTTCCATCATTAAAGGAGTGTTCCTACTGATTTCTATTATCCTAAATCTACTAAACAGCTAGCAAAACCCAACATCTCAGAAGTTACACCTCTGTATTGTATCAAAAATATAGAAGGGCTCAGATCTATTTACACTACTTCCAGATAAAATTTCACCATAAGGTTAACAAGACCCAAGAACAGCCTTTGACTAACTAATTCCACCATTATCTAACCATGGTTTTAAGTTTCTGGAAACCTCATCTTTTACCTTCTCCAGCTACCATGTGGGAGCTTCATGGTGACAGTGAATGAGACTTTCCAAGTAAACACACCTTTGTTGGAGGAACTTTACTCTTTTCCATACAGGTTTTGTTTAAAAACTTTCAAACGTGACTTTCAAAGTCTCTGCTTCTTCTCAGCCTACAGACCAAACACCCCATTTTCAAGAATAACAAGGTGACTTTCTTTCCTTTTAAAGTATTATTTTTGCTCAATATGTATGTTGAAGATGGAGAAAAGAAATACTATACATTAATGCTCAGAGTGAAGCTATCTAAATATTTAACACCCAGTTTAGCCGATTCTGAAAATATTTCCTTTTTGGAACTACACATCACCAAGAATTTAAAATATACTTACAATCAATGGCTGTATTTTCCAGTTCCTTTACAGTATATGACAACTCGATCACCTTCTGCATTACACTGTCAAACAGCAACATGTGCAGCACAGCAGTGCCATAGAAACATGCAACATTTGCAGAGTGTTTGGACTGACCTGGTGACTGTCAGAGGTAGGTGCTACTTCCAAACTTAGAAGTTCTCTAAATATTTTCAATTTTTGTTTTAAGTTACATTCATTAGTGCCAGTTAAATTTTGGCTCAACAGCAGTTGCACAGATTACTCTGCAAGGGCAATGACTGGAGAGAACACAGCAGCAGATGGAATAGGAAGACATTTTCATTCTTACTCATATTATTATTTTGACCATAAGGGCTTAAAGGAAAAAAAGCCAAATCCAGTGATATGCTGCTCTACACAGTCCAAATCACAAGAATGAGAGAAATGTTTGGCGATCCCCTTCTCCCCATATTCACCCAAACCTCAGCAGCAATCCGGGACAATAAATGGGAATGAACGAGCAGGTGGTACTGGCGCACCTCAAACCAGCCATTCTGCAGCCCTCCTCATGCAACCAGCTTCCCAAAGCTGTTTTCACCTTAATTGGTTTGGTGATAAAATTTCCAGTAAGTTTAAGGCAGTCTTCTGGCCAGTGAAGGCATTAGCATAGTGAAAAAGTTTGTTCAACGCATACTTGCAAGTCTAATGCATTAAGATTGTTTTTATGAACTCGCCAGTGCTGCAGTAATCTCTGCTCCATCAGCATACTCTCCATCCTTTCCCAGGTGGCTTTACCAAGTCTGAACTTTTAAGAGCTGACTACAAACCACTTGGCCTAACCAAACACATCTGATTTCTATAGATGACTAACTTGGGGAACCAAGTGTGTGATGGGAAATGGCTTTTCTGTTCCTGTTCTTGTTCATTACTAACTCTCAGAAGGCAGCCAGGCCTGAGAAGAGCAACACTATGGAAAGGAGGCACTAAATTATACTCAGTTATTTAAAATTTAGAAGCCCCCCCATGTATATCAAATGTATTTCTTGCCCTGGTAATGATTTCCAATACCAGAAATGTTAGTAACTGAACCAAAATTTCCAACTATGTGAGACAAGCTGTCATTAAAACCAGGCAATAAACCATACAGGCACTGCAGAAATCAGGTTTTTATAGCTCCTTCTGAACAATTCAACTGAAAAAAAACACAGACATTTGCATTCAGCCTGATACTTCACACAGTCAGTGTGCTCTTCTGGAGCACCCTTTACCCAAATAAGTCAGACACAGCTAATATTTAATGATAGATGTTCATAATGGTATTTATATGACCCTTCTTTAAAGGGTTATAAATACAACTAACTGTCAGGATTAGCCAGCCACATTTTGCAGTGTGGCACCCTTGGGTTTTTGAGGGACACACGTTTATATGCAACTAAACAGTTGCGGGAATATGCCACAGGCCTGCAGTTACTAAGGCAGATGTGTAGGACAGTATCCTCTGCTTTCCATTGCAGAAGAAAATACAAATGTGTATTGACCTTCTCATCAGCACAGGTCTAGCATGATGACTTGCAGAAATAAGAGTCAAAACTGCTCTTTTCCCTGTAAGCCTCTATCTCTCTGTGTACATAATCACAAAAACTGCCTTGAGAGCTACTTCCAATGTTCCATGTACTGGTAGTTCCTACTCACCAGACAAGGCAGGACACCAAGCAGCACATCTCTGAACTAAAAGGGGCTGTGGGTGAGCTGAGGGAACAGGTTTGAGCAGATATAAGAATAAACTTCCTCGGATTTCAAAGACGGTGCTGTCCTAAGGCAGAAGGAAGATCTTTTGATGTATTTCATTAAATGTCTAACAACATGAAGGGAAGGAAAAGAAGAGTGAAAAGTCTGCTAGAACAGCTAGCAGCTCTCAGTGATAGCCTTGACAGTGAGGAGAGGGCTGCAGGAAGGGTCAGGGAGGTGGAGAGCATATCGCAGGTTAAGAGACTTGAAGGTTTGGCTTGTTCAGCTTAGAGAAAGGCAGGCTGAAAAGGGGTCTGACTGCTACCTACAAATACATCGGGATGGGAGGTGGTGGGAAAAATAGCCATAAACTGATCATAAACAGGTTAAAAAAAAAAAATCAAGAAAATTTGCATAGAAGTCCTAGAATAGCTCAGACAGAAGAAATTCAAGGAAAACATACCAAAACTGACCTTATGGCAGAGCCTGACAATTCTGTGAAGGATGACAGGATCCTTGCCCAAGCAGGGGACTGCAGAAACCTTCAAGTCCCACATCACTTCTCCTAGACAACACTCTAAGACTATACGGCTGTCAGAGTCGAGCGTGCAACAGCAATTCCATTATAAATCAGATATTTAAAAGGCTCAGTTCCAAACACATTCCATCCAAGATGAAACTCCACATCTTAAGCCAACACTCTCTTTATTTGAGTTAGAAGCTTATAAATTCAACAAGATTAAATGAGTCATTTGGGTGATTTCAGGGTTTCCATTCCTTTGTAACTAAAAGCCAGATAAATTTCAGGGAAAAAAACCAAAGCCTCATACAGACACAATAGATCTGTGCTACTCCATCAGGCAGCTAAAAATCTTCCAAACCAAGGATATTCATATTGAGAAATATAACTGCAATAGACTCAGCAATACAGGGGAAAAAGGCAAGAGAGGATTCATGTGCTCCAAGAAGCCTGCATCTTTGAAGCGACAGTGTCAGGCTTTGAAACAAAGTGTGTCAGATACATTTTTCAAAGGCTTAGTTTCACCTTTCTTTTGCAAAGAGGAAGGGAAAAAAATCCTGAGGTCTTCCAGAAGCAACCTTCAGCATTTAATTATTATGCAGAAGTACATAAAGTGATTTGTTCTATTCCAATGGGAAAGCATAAATGATACAGCACAAAAGCATCCAACAAACTGAAAATATTTAACATGCTGAGTTTTATTGATCTTTCTTCAACTCCAGAGTACTCACACTTGTATTGGAGGCCCCATAAGAATTCTACTGCTCTTATCTGGGAAATATTTCCTACCTCAAATCATTAACAACACATTTTTTTCCTTGCTTTCATCTGCGGTCTGGAAGCAGTAGGTGAAGCTTAGTTTGCTGGATGAACTAAAATACAAGGCAGGCTGCCTGCACTGAAGACAACCTGTGAAGCTATACCACTTGTCTATCCTATTTAGCATTCTCCAAAATATCTTCTGACCTGCTGACCTTCTATTGGAATTCAGTCTCCTCAATAGCCTGATTAACTACATGAGCTTATTTTTTACCTCTTTCTAAATACCTAACAATGTGGATACAGATATACATAATGTACACCTATAGTAGGCTGAAGTTACATGCAGACATATATTCTGTAACATTTTCTGTAAGCCGTGATCTGGCAAACACAGATATGAATGCTACACCCACAGATAGCTCTGTTCCAATTGCACTTAAGGGGAAAATAATCCCCGACCTTTTGACATACAAACAGAAGTTAGAGAGCGGAGAGGAATTAGAGACTTGTTTGTGCAGCAAGGAAAGAATCCAAATTAATCCTCTGATATCAATTCAAGCGAACGATGTACCAGAAGTGAATGCGGCCAGTGTCCAGTAGCAATGATATATCAGGATGTAATTTGGACTTTCATGATGGACATGAAATGAACAGAATCAAGGATGTGTATCTATCAGACCTGATTTAAGGCATCATTAACCTAGTTCAAACTCTGAATTTTCAACCAGGCAATGCAAACTGCTAGCATTTAAACCACAAAATTAACTTTAGGATAATGGACTTCAGCTGTAGCCAGATCATAGAGAAGGGATGAACCGCTAAGCGGGGGAAGTTCCCACAAGAATGATCCCACAGTGGCTTGTCCATCTCTCTCCAACACCTTCTGCACTGGCAACAGCGTTTGCTCCAGGTGAAGACCAAAGAGTGACAAACAGACCCCCAGGTCATGAGCTCAGGAAGCACTGACAAGAAGCCTGCTTTGGGTCTCTATTCTCCAGCACTCACAAAGCCCCTTCACTGTGGCTGGGGCCAGGGAAGTTCTGTCCCCCCCCCAGAAATGAAAGGGAACTGATCCACACAAGGCTCCCAGCTTAGCAGGCAATGCTGCTGTCACGACAGCAGAGACAGCAGCCCAACTTAGGTGTATTCACATGTGATCCTTGCTGCCAGGATGCTCTTGAACAAAAATGTAAAGAATCGCATTAACATATATTTGATCAAGCCAGAAACATAAGTTTACAGCGCAGACAAAAAGCATTTCAATGGTCTGAATGCTCTAGTTTCCCAACACAGACAACTTACTGCAGAAGTCAGCAGGTATAAAAGTGAAAAAGTGTTCAAACTACCTTATACAGAGTAAACAGGACAAGCTACAGTTTTAACTCCCAGTGTGATCTCAACAATACTTCTCTCAGAAAATACCTTGGTACTTAGCATTAGTTACATTTTCATATTTTACTGCAGGTATGCTATTTTTTGGGGGGGGCAAATTCTACATGATTATGAACAAAGTGTTTGTCAACTACCCCAACTGAGGTCATTATCTCTCCACTGCTGTCATAAATCAGACTACCCAGTTATTCAGTATAGAAACTATTAAGGTTTAGGTCATGCATAACAAGTTGAAGAGACCACATTTTGTGTCCGGTTTTGGGTTTTTTTGAAGATGGGGGTGGGTTAGAAAAAGCCAAGGCCAATCAGTTGATGTATCTGAACAGACAGCCTGCAAGGTAAACAAAATGTGGACAAAAAAACAGATGGATAAAACCAGCAAAACATCTAGCCTGCTGTCCATCACATATGAGCAACGTCAGGATGCCATAACAGAGAAGCAGCTTCGACAAAGGAAACAAATTGTCTTCATGGAAACAGACTTGCTTCTAAATGACAAAATAACTTGTACGCTATAGGAAAGATCTAGGTAGAAACACTTAAGAGTGAGGTTATCCAACCACCTTATCCATTTCCCAATGCAAAACACATGCAGAAAAGACTGAAGAGAATATTGGCAAGCTTAATACTTATGCAGACACAAGTCTCATTACAGTAATAAATCAGTCTGAAATTCTAAAATACACTTTTTTTGGCTGACAGAAAAAAGCAGAGAAGACAGCCATCAGCTATTGAAATTCACTGCTTTCCTTCCCTTGTGGCAGTCAATTTTGATTCTCTGCAAGTGGGAAAAACCACGAGGAACCCATGAATTCATTGTGCTTCACACAACCAGAATCACTAGTTTATTTGGTGCCTCTTAGAAATGAGCACAACACATGATGGAATTCCTGTGAACCCCACCCGCACAATCTGTTCCCTACAAGCAGTTCCTGCCAGCACCACTCAAAATAATCTGCACCTCAAAAATCATCCCTACCACCTCTGGGTCTAGGTTCACTCCCATTCGATGGTTACATCACAGCTGTTTGAACAAGCAGCATCCAAAAGCTGGTCTGGTCGTTTTTATATCGGTGGCTACAAATTCCACCCTGTGTGACTCTTCTTTCGAACAGCAGCTGTATCAGGGATCATCACTGTCACCACATTTTCTAAGTTTAAGCTGCTCCTGCCTGCATGACAAGAAAGGGCGCAGGAGCTTACACTGGCATTGTGAGCAACAACACACATTATACCTCCCCCAGGCCAAATTTTCCAGGAAATGTTTTCAAGGCAAGGAATATTTCTCTGTTCGATTTTTCATCTTAGATGTTTCAGGTCACAGACCTCAAGGTACACTGCCCACATACAGACTCTACCGCTGAGGCATACCTTAGATTTTGATGAGGTAAGTTTTATTTGGTTCCATCTGGGCTGATCCATGACTCTAGAGTGACTCTTAATTTTTAAATCCTCAAGACATGAAATGGAGGTATTCTGGTGTGGGTTTTTTTGCTTATTTGGGCTTTCTGATGGTGTTTTTCCTATTTGATTCTTTCATTGTTAGTTTGTATTCTGCTATGCTGCATGGACCCTTTGAACTCAAGTTAAATTTAGAAATAAACTCAACACCAATCCCAAATAATTTAAATCCATTGAGGAATGCCAAGTATTAAGCTATGAGCCTACAGATAGAAGACTATGCAGTTAAAAGAAAGTCACAATGCTTCCACTCTAAAACCAACAAAACATCACAGTATTGAAAGAGGGTACCGTATCTTCGTTGGAGAACATGCAGTAAAAAAGCCTCCATTCACATATAACTGAAATAGAAGTATTAAGCATTTATTAAGAGGTGCAGATCAACTAACAACAGTGACTGATTGATCACCTTAAAATAGCTCCTGCTAGACCTGGCTGAAAGAGCGATATCCTAACTGGAAACACAGGCTTGATGAAACACTTTGTGGATGCAGGTGAATTTAATCAATGTTTCTGACACAAGAGATTCCTGAGTAGTTATTCACACAATTTATTAATTCTAGCAGAACTAAAGTAGAGAAAATAAAAAGGAATGTAATGGCCTATGTTTCCACAACTCATTTATCCTTCCATTAGGTTCATACCCCAAAGGATTTTTACAAGCACCATTTTTCAAACACGTTTGACTGATTGTTTAATGCAAAATTACTTCAAAGTGATCTAATAATAACAGGAAACATTTGCATCCCATCTCAGCCTCCTACTTGCCTTGTCAACATGGGGGTGCCAATATTCATCGTGTGTTGTCTTGGCTTCTGTGTTGTTTATTCTCGAGAAGAACGTCGGCTTAGTCAGGTACATGGAAGCAGAGCTGATACCAAATGCCTGAGCAATCCTTTGTTGAATTCTCTGTCTGACATCCCTGCAAAGAACACAACACAGCATGCTGACACGCGTCTCTCCTGCTGCTTCTGTACTCTCCATTCACTGTCATTGCTTCTTCAGAGCTAAGCTTCTTCCCCAGCTCATAAATCATGGGGAACATATACCCATACCTTCTCTCTTACTTTGCCTTAAATAGAAGGGATCTACTACATCAAAAGAAGAGAATCCCCAGTGTTTTGGGATGGAGTTTGGTTGTTTTGGTGGGTTTTTTTTAGTTATCAGAATACCAAGAAAAACAAACTATTGTCTCCTGTGGCCTAGGTTTTTAAATTTCTTTGTGTAAGCAGTCTGTTTTCCTGAAAAATTCCATACATATCTCACTGTTTATTATTATTACCAAATTATTATTTATTCACTGAAAAGATTAAAGTCTTCCACATATATATTTTCAATCCAAAGCAGATAACTAGAAAGTTGTATCTTCATAAAGGGTTGCTTCTGAAGAACCTTCAATTATTTTTACGCTAATTATAAACTAACCAATGAAGTCTCTGGCACCATGAAACTCAGGGTTCTTGGTCAATGTATGTCTTGGTATCACAACCACATTTTCCTTAAAAATGAATGCAGGATGTCTTTCCCAGCTATTTGCAAAGATTCAACTAAACTATTTCTACCGTGGCTATTCCTGTGTTTCTTGGGAGACAGGAAGAAAAGAACAGGATTTTTTCTTTTATTTTTAAGATTATAAAAATATAAGACTAATAATTAAGCAGGCATTACTTATATAGCAGCATCCATCTTTCAGGACAGATACTGCTGCATACAGAGCTAGAACAGGGCCATCTACAACTGCCAGCCTTAGTTCAGCCAATGCCACTTTGAAAGAGAAGAGATTTGTGATTAACAAGGAGTACCTCCAGCAAATCCCACCAGTAAACACATACAGCTAGTATTGATCTTTGAGGAAATTTGAAAGCCAGCAAAGAATGCAATAACACAATGAGATGAAATGAAAAGGTTGGGGGTTTAAGATGTAATCCTCTATGCTTTTTAAAATCTCTCTATTGTTTTCTCCCAATTTTAAGACATTCTTGGCTATTGTATTAGACTTCTTCCTTCCTAAGTGCTTCAAGAGCAGCACACAAACAAGACACTCTGAGCAAACACACTTCTGGAGTTGTGCATAGAATTACATTAGTAGTTTTGCATCTTTTCTGCATCAGACATTTCTCCCGTGGGTAGTACGGAGCTTCAGTATAATCTTCAAGAAAGTCTTTCCCAAGTGTTTCTCTAGGGAACTTACAGTGACTAAAAAGAAGTGAGAGAACTAAAACCAGACCTACAGTGTTAGGCTGTGAAAGTCAACTGTTAAAAACTATTTCCACAGGTACTAAAAAAAATCCTAAATATTCACTCTGTTCACATCACATTTTTAGGGTCTAACCTTTGGGGTCAATTCAAGCCCTTTTACATGTGAAATATCAAAACCCTTAAATGAAGTTGGAGCGGAGATTTTCAGGTATTTACATGGCTGCATGAACTGAGGTTTCAAGTTGAGAGCTACATACAGGCAGAGTTTGTGAAATTCACATCAGGAAAGGATCTACAGGTCCCTCCTCTCATGCCTGGGGAGCTTGATCTTTGTCTGTTTTATTTCCAAGGAGTAAGAATTCAGCAGAGGCTGCCTTAGGCTTCCCAAAAACATTAAATGTAATTACTCATTTCACTTCATCACGAATTGAGGGCAGCTGGCACTCTGAACAACCCAAGAGAAGAATAAATAGCCTAACCTACAAACACTAGAGCAGCATATTCCCTGGCGCTGACACTGGGTGGCCAGTTGCATCAGCCTCTTGGAACAGATCTGCTCTGAAGCAGTCAGGCCACAGTCTTGACACAACTTTAAATCTCCAGTAGCTGTATTGCTGCACTGCTTCCTCTTTCAGGCCGATTCCCTTTCCACTTTCAAAAGCTTTCTATTTTCTGTCTGGTTTTCACAAGGCTCCATTAAAGCTTCACTCCTCTTTGAGACTTGCTGTGCGGGTGGTGAGGCAGTGGCCCAGGTTGCCCAGAGAAGCTGTGGATGCCCCATCCCTGGAGGGGTTCAAGGCCAGGCTGGATGAGGCTTTGGGCAACCTGGGCTAGTGGGAGGTGTCCCTGACCATGGCAGGGGGTGGGACTCGATGATCTCTAAGGTTCCTTCCAACCCAAACCATCCTGTGATTCTGTGTAAGATATGATGGAGCAAAAAGTGACAAGGCACCTCAGCATCCCTATTTCTTCACATCCTGTGGATGCCATTACATTTTAAAGCATGAAATACTACCTTGATAAACAAAGTGTCATCTGACAGACCTCCAGCAAATGCCCAAGCAGTTCACATTTAATACAAACTATTAAACTGGAAAAACTGTGCCTACAATTAAGTACAACATTTAGTGCAATGTAATGCAGTGCAAAAAAATAACCAATTCTAGAGAATCAACCAGAAAAATTAGAAAAAACCCCACTTATCCATCATGAATAGACAGCAGATTTCATAGAATCATAGAATCATAGAATGACCCGGGTTGGAAGGGACCTCAAGGATCATGTCAGGCCCCCTGCCTGACAGGGCCACCAAACATA